CGTACTTTCCTTGGGATTGTACCACAAGGGCTAGGTTGTTGGCACTTGTTAGGGTGTCTGGGTGGTCTGGTGCAAGAATCTTCTCACGCCCCTCCAGTGTACGCCGATCCATTGCCTCCGATTCATCGTATTTTCCTTGGGATTGTAGCACGAGAGCCAGGTTATTGATACCCGTTAGAGTGTCCGGGTGGTCTGGTCCAAGAATCTTCTCGCGCCCTTCTAGTACACGCCGCTTCAGCATCTCGGATTCATCGTACCTTCCACGCTTTTCCAGTGCCAGAGCCAGGTAGCTGACGGCCTCCAGGACGGTGAGATTATTTAGGCCCAATGATTCCTCAATATCCTCTAATAATTTCCGAAGTATCTCCTCGGCCACATCTGCCCTTCCTTGATATATGCTTACCCCCCCTAGGAGCATAACTCTCCTTGGGCCTTCTTCATCCCAGTCATACTCTTTACTCCCTTCCCGAAGTGCAATACATCGACGCAATTGAACTTCTGCATCATTGTAGAAACCCTTATCCATAAGGTACCGTCCTAGGCGGAAGCAAAGCTCTTCAGCAATGGGATCCATTGAATTTTTGGTTACTGCAAGTGCATGTGGAATATATACAGAACTAACATCTCTCCACGTGATCCAATCTCGAGGAAACAGCCCTGAAACCACTCCCAGCGCAGTGGCCCTCCATCGATCCAATTCTTCTGTTGGTAAATAAACCTGGAGAGACAGTTGGACCAAACGATGAAGTTCGTAAAATGTCTTGTCCTCACATTTGACAGCCGTGACTAGTGAAAATCCCAATAGTTTTCCAATTGCCTGACGAAACTCAATTGCATCATCCATCCCTTCCAAACCGCATCGGCTCAATAGCTCTTCGGGTATGTTCTGACGATCGAAGAACGCAATTAGGCGCAGAAGACCCGCCCCTTTGGGCATCTGCTGTGTGATCTGGTCAAAGGTGATAAAGTACGTAGCTAGGATGCTTTCGGTCATATCAGTTTCTCGTTGGATGCCACAAAACGGCTGTGAAAGCAGTCGCTTTGCTTGTTCGTCGCTTTCCCGGAAAATTGTCCAGTAAGTTGATGGGGGTGTCTGGGTTACTGTCATGAAGGATGCCGCCCCCACAATTGCCAGTGGGATATGATGCAGGGAGTCCAGTATCAGTGCGATCGCCTCTTTTTCTTCATCTCTCGAAACGTCCCTGCTGCCTAAGCGTTTCAAGAACAATTCTTGTGCTTCACCCTCCTCCATTTTCCCGACATCGATTCTATCGCAATCCTGCCATGATGCGACTTGGAGAGATCTTGTGGTGAATATTAGAGTACCCCTAGGACCTTGTGGTACAAATTTCGAGATGTGACCACTATTTCCGGTAAAGTCCTCCTCGTTATCGGCGTTGTCAATAACCAGTATCCAATCGCCTTTATCTGGACCTTCAAACCACCTCCGTATATTTAATAGGAATCCCTCTTCCTCTATCTCGGCGCTGGCTAGGGGAATCCGAACATGCTGCGCAATGGCTCTGAAACCCTCACTAAACTTTTGTACCCCACTTCCATGCACCCAAAAAACATGACAATCGCTCTCGCTTGCCCGCTGATAAACGTATTCGAGTGCAATCTGCGTTTTTCTGGGCAATGTTAATAAACCCACGAAACGCCGGTAACGAAATTCTGGTAACAATGATGGACACATACCCGGAACCGCCCAATCCGTGGAGTGCAATCCGGTTGTGGTTGCTACCCGCGGAAAGCCTCTTTACCTCCTCAATGAGGTCTCCACGGCCCGTGAACTTGCTGTTTCTACCATATGGAATCATCCGATAAGGCCCCGATACTTCTTCTAGTTGTAATACCGGTAGCACATTAGATTTGGGGGGAAATCCCTCGGGAAACCTGATACATACCTCTATCCCCGGCCCCAATCACGCACCCGTGATATATCCTCCCGAGATTGGTAACATTGTTCAGGTTAACCGTGTTCGAGTTATTATTACTACCAAAGACATTATGATCCCCTGAATTCCCGCTGAAGTTTCCGGTGATATCGGCTTGCATTTTTCTGGAAAAAATATTGGACTGGTGCTCATTGTTTTTGAAATGGTAGAGGTTGGGGGAGAAGGGGATCCCACCGATCCATCATCTACTCGCACTGTACTCGTGTGTTTAGCTCTCTATAGGGCCGTTTTCGAAGGTCGGGTGGGAAAGTGATAAAGTGTCGCTAAGGTACTGTATCTGAAGAGGGAATATTAGTCTATCGATCGCCGATCGAGATATGTATGATGGCTCAAAATGGTTTCGCGAGACCTGAAACAAGTCAATAAGGGGAGGATATGGTAGAACGAGTAGTCGAGGGCCCAACCATATATAGCGAGATGAATGAATGATTCTGTGGTTTTGAGGGAGACGTGGGATGTAATCCAAGCTCTGGCTATGGCAATGGAGTGGAGTCCGATGATTTAGCATACGGGTATAGAAAGGGTATTGGAGCGACAGAGTCCTGAGGCAGTACGGTAGACCGTGTGAGGGCTCAGCGAGGCGACACCCTCAACGAGGCGCGGCACGGCTTGGCTCTCTACTGTCGTTGACCGTAGGCAATCTTTGCTGCCAAATATCGCCAAGCCTGGCTGAGGGCGTCGCCTCGCTGAGCCCTCACACGGTCTAACGCGACATCTCAGAAGTCTCAACAGCCTGGGCGGGGAAGACAGCCACCTGATAGCTAGTTCTCGGTAGTTGGGGAATGTCTCGGCGGCTTGATTGGCTCTGGTCGTGGTCCTGGCAGTTAGAAAACCAGCATTTGGTGCATGTCTCGTTACACTGCGGGATGCCAGAGACAATGGTAGACACCCCCAAACTACATCGTCCAGGCGGACGTGCATTTTGGAGTAAGCATCAGCAGAACCTTTTGGGAATACAAATTTGAGGCCACCAAATGATGCCGATACAAGAATAGAGTGGCTTCGCCTCTTACCATCTTCTTTTCTAGATAAGAGGCAGCCCATCGCCTACCGGTATGGCGAAATAAGCTCATAATCCTGCCGGTACCTCAAAATCTAATCAGACATCTACTGCATAATCCAAGCGCGGATAGACTACTAAGACTGCGGAAGCTTCACAGCAATCATGTGAGACTTGTGATCTCGTGAGGGCTATGAAAGCTAGCCGACTTGGGTCAGCGCCCACAAGGCTGGTGGAGGCATATCCGTAGGAATTCCCAAGTGATATATGACAAGTAGCATCAAAGGGTGCATTCGTACGAGGCTGGCATGATTACGAGTACCGTAGGATATGGGTAAATAGCAAGCAAGTCGAGTGTGCCAACTCAGATCACGCTAAGTTGCGTGTCCAATTGCAGGCAAGTTTCTACATGTCTGAAGCTTTCAGGTCCAAACCAAGAGGAGGTACGATACGTAACTCTCCCTTCACCTGCACAGCATGAGTACTCGTGTATCATACAGAACTCTGTTGGCATGCAAACATGCCCCGGCCACTTCTTGCTCCCTCCTAGAGCCCAACAGGGGGGGGGCCCTCCATCCATCACTCCAAAATTCTCAGCCTTACTCTACCGTACGTGGGCCGATTTTTTTCTTCTAACGTACCCCGCAGTGAGCCAAAATACATGGTGACCCGAAACAAGCGCGGTACACTACTCGTAGCCGTTGCTTACTAAGGGTACCTTTTACATAGGCTGCTTCGCGCCACGGTGTGTTTGGGCCCGCTGTGGCCTACGTTAAGTACCAGTAGGGGTCTTCCGTCAAGGAATGCTATTATGTGAGATTCCGATTTCCCACCTGCCACTACTCCCTCTCCCGCTCGTTCCACCTATGAGCAAACAGACAACCTTATGAGAAGAAATCGTAAATCGCAACAAAAACTCTGCATTTATTTCCTTTCTCTTTTAACATCGAATCGGCGGAGACTTCGTGATATCGAACCAAGGAATGACCGGCGGCGGAGCGAATGGCGAAATGAGCAGGGATATGAGGCAATGGGCCAATCAGAACCAAGCGAGCGATGGGCAGTAAAACGAAACAACGCCAAGCTCACTCACGTGAGGGATCGCACAGCACAGCGGGAGAAAACCCCTCACCTCGCCAACCTCTCTAACTATCGCACAGTCTCACTACTAACTGGTTGAACGATGGTAAAGACAGGAACATATATCAACGGTGCAAAAGATAGAGTCCAATCCTCCTATCCTTCCAGGTATGTCTCCCACACACACAAGCAAATAGAAAAGCTAACTTAAGAAAGAACAGACGAACTTCGGCTACCATCCTCCGGCCCTCCTTCTGACCTTCCTCTTTCTTTCGTGCATTCCTTCCAGTCCCTCCGCCGTCCTTCCAGCGGATGCATGTCTCCAAAAGTCTCCCGCGCACTCCCGCGATCGAAGCGCTTTACCGAAAAGGGCAAAACGGCGTGGGCGGGAGCCTATGTGCGCCCAAAGCCATGTCGTGCCCGAAAACAAAGCGCACTGCCGGAGACTATGTCATCAGACAAGCAAACGATCGTGAGAGAGCATGCCGAGAAGCACCTCATGATTTCCAACATTCCCGCCCTCTTCCCTTCCCTTCACTTCATTTTCCCTCTTGTGTCATCCCCATCATCCCCATTATGTACTTCCGTCTTCCTTAAACACCTTCCCTTCAAACCTTCCACTTCCGCACTTCTATCCTTTCTTCCTGTTCTGTATCTTCCATATCTTTCAACAAAGGTCATGATCTGCTATAATGTATTTCGCGGTGAATAAATAGATCCGCCATGCTCCATCTCGCTAAGCAGGGGGAAATAAATAATATGGATAGTAGACAACTTACAAACTCGCTCGATGATACAAGAGTTGAATGTGTGCGGTTGAGATGGACGAGTGAGCGTGTATGTTTCGCAAAACTCTGGACAACAGCCGGTTGTCTTGGACTGCATCGTGTGATACTGCTATTCGTATCATAGGAGAGCGTCCGGGCTGAGATCCATAGTCCGTCCGACCTTGCGGAGGATATGGTATTAGGGGAGCGAGAGGTGTTTTGGAGTTTCTTTAAGTTTGTTAGAATGGTGGGCCACACTGGGCCTACGAGGAACCCTCTCCGGGATAGTTACCAGAAAAGGCACGGGAGGTTGATGGATGACTAGGATGGTATTTCGGCATTTAGGATGGTTGGGTGAATAATAACAAACGAGTGACTTATAATGATTCCTGTGGGTAAAGGGGTTATGATGCAAGGAGTTTGTCGGGCGGGAAGACAAACGATACAAGTACCACATCGCTTCTTATTACACAGGCTAGGATATATCTAAAGGGAGAGGAGGAAAATACAAAATGGAAGGGAGAAAGAAGAAAAACCCAGCACATGTCACTTCCAAGGTGCGACAATGCGATAGCCCACAACACATAGCCTCTAGTTTGCCATTCTTGTTAGTTCCACATGACCTAGTACTGTTCCCGTATACTCCTACGGCCCACCACCCTTGCGGAAGACTACACTCCCGCAAAAGAAATAACGGACCACAGGGCGAGCAAATCGTGGCCGCTGGCCCTCTCGGTTTGCTGGCAGTGTCTGTCCTGCACACCGCTCGACTGTCTCAGAATCGTCAGAATCTCGTTGGAGCCGCCGCACTGTAGCCAGGTTATTGGCACTTAATTGGGTGTTGGGATGGTCTGGTCCAAGAATCTTCTTGCACTGCTCTAGTGTATGCTGATGCAATGTCTCTGATTCCTTGTACTTCCCTTGGCTTTGAAGCACACTGGCAAGATTGCTAACACTTATTAAGGTGTCTGGGTGGTCTGGTCCAAGAATGTTCTCGCACCCCTCCAGTTCACGCCGGTGCATCGCCTCCGATTCATCGTACTTTCCTTGAGATTTTAGCACTAGAGCCAAGTTGTTCAGACTTGTTAGGGTGGTTGGGTGGTCTGGTCCAAGAATCTTCTCATGGCCCTCGAGTGTACGCCGATTCATCGCCTCCGATTCATCGTAC